GGTCTATGCGTGGGGCTCCGAGGAGCCGGGCCGGCTGCCGCCCGGTCCGAGCCATCAACCCCGGGATCCTTCCACGTCGTCCCCAGGGAGGCGTGAAGAACCCGCCGAGCCTCCAGCAAAGCAAGCGGGGAGGCGCAGGAGGCAGGAGGAAGCAAGAGCAGGAGCGGGCACGGGAGGCGCGACGCAGCCGGGCAGGTGCGCAGGCACCAGGGCAGGCGGCCGGGAGGGGAGCTCCGCGCACGGTCACTCACCTGGGTCGTGGCCCCGGGGGCGTGGGAGGACGTGCGTGCCAGGGAGCTCTCCGACACAGGCGCCGACACCGGCTTTGGGTCACAAACAGAGAAGCACGTGTCACGAGCGGGGCAGCCTGGGCCGAGCCCGGCACTAGTCAGAGCAGAGCGGGGACGGCGAGGGCAGGAGCGCGCAGAGACGGGGCAGGGGAGATCGAACGGGGGCAGAAACCAGCACGGCCAGGGCAGGGGCAGGGGCAGGGGAGGGGCCGGCTCTGCGCCCCAGCCCACGCCCCATGCTGCTGTGCAGCCCGTGGGGAGACCCAGGGCAGGTGCGGACTCTGGAGACCGTCTCCAGCCTGCCCGGCCCTGTGGCTGTGGGGGCAGCTCTGGTTTGGGTCTGGGGGGAGGTGCCAGGCAGGCCCTGCCAGCAGCTCCCTTCACCCCTGCAGCTGTGGGCAGCTCTGGCCCGGGGCCGTGAGGTCTGGTCCCACTCCACTGTCCACACCCGGCGTCGGGTCCTGCTCACCTCCACGAACCAGGACGTGCTGGATGCTGTCTGGATGCCTTCCTCCTCCTCCTCCTCCTCCTCTTCCTCCTCCTCAACAGACCAGCACTGGTGCTGGGCAAGGACCTCTCCACTCCCCGGCTCCTGGCGGGGAACGGGGAGCTACCTCAGCGCCTCCCCCTCTCTGAGGCTCAGGGCCAAGGGGCTGCGGTGTCGGCCGGCCGCCGGAAGGAGCCTGGGAAGGGTCTCGTGACCCCCCGAGCTGCAGGGACACGGGGCTAAACCGGGGAGGCAGCTGGGCAGGATGCCCCAGGAGGTGCTGAGACCCCTCAGGGGAGGGGAGCAGGCCCAGGGCTGGGGGAGCTCCAGGAATGGGCCCCGGCCCGGCTCTGGGCCCCAAAGTACCTGCGGCACGTCCGGCTGCAGCCCCTCATGCACTGGGCCCTGCTGCTCCCACAGGTGCCTCACTGCCACCGAGTTGGGGAGGTAGCCGGACGACAGCCTGGGCAGCATCGGGTCCTGCGAGCAGGGGGGGCGTGGGTCACCGGGTGCCGGCATCACCGCCCCAGCTAGACCCCCACCCACCTCCCGCCCCAAGGCACGAGGGCCAGGACACGGCTGCCGGGAAGGAGTGTGGCAGCCCAGCTACGGCCGGGACAGGCCAGAGGGGTGGCTGGCTTGGTGGCCTCACCTGGATGTTGGTGAAGGACGTAATTTGGGAGGGGAAGAAGCCTTTGATGAGCTGCGGTGCGGGCGGGAGCTGGAGGCTCCTCTGCATTTGGGCCCGGGGGGTGCTGAGCACAGGCACCGAGACAGCTCGGGGAGGGCTCCTGCGCGGGCGAGACTCCGGGGCCTTCAACGGGGCAGTGTCGGTGGCTGGGATCTTGGGGCAAAGGGTGGCTGCAGTGTGCACCAAGGAGTGTGCAAGCACCTGCTCTACCACTGCACAGTGCACCAGGTAATGTGTGAGCATGCACTGTACCACTGCACGGTGCACCAGGGAGAGTGCGAGCACCACTGTGCCACCACACGAGGCACCAGGGGCATGCAAGTGCCCACTGTACCACTGCAGTGTGCACCAGGGAGCGTGTGAGCACCGCTGTACCACCGCACGAGGCACCAGGGGCATGCAAGTGCCCACTGTACCACTGCAGTGTGCACCAGGGAGCGTGTGAGCACCGCTGTACCACCGCACGAGGCACCAGGGGCATGCAAGTGCCCACTGTACCACTGCAGTGTGCACCAGGGAGCGTGTGAGCACCGCTGTACCACTGCACGATGTACCAGGGAGTGTGGGCACTTACAAATGTGCTCCAGCAGGCGAGGTGGGGGGCAGTGGCCTTTAATTAGCACAGCTCTTGGAGGTGCACTAATTAAAATGCCCAGAGCATCATGTGTATCAGCATCTCCGTGCTGAAAAATGGTGGCAGGGTGCTTTAACTAAAGCTCCTTGAACCAGCTTTAGTTAAAGCGCCCCCGCCACCATTTTTAAGTGTGGGGACACTGATACACGTGACACTGCAGCCTGTTGGAGTGTGGTAATTGCCACACTCCAGCAAACCCCATTCATCAAATCTGCTCTAATGCGCTGTAATTACGCAGCGTTGGAGCAGCCTCCCTGCAGGTGCGCAAGAGCCCCGTGTGAGCATGCACTGTACCCCTGCATGATGCACCAGGGAGTGTGCAAGCACCCCCAGGCCACTGTAGTGTGCCCAGGGAGCGTGCGAGCACCCAGTGGGTGGGGAGGTGTGCAGCACAGAACATGAGGGGGGAAGAGCTCTCACCCCTGGAAACACCACTTCACACCCAGCCCTGTGCACATGCCCCTTCCACACGCATGCACATGTATCCACCTTCTCCATCACATGCCCATCACCTGTGTGTGCGCGTGCACACACACGCGCACACGCACACGCACACACACACACGCACGCACGCACAGTCCCATTCCTGCCGGGAGCTGGGAAGACCTGAGAGAGAAACACGCGTGGCAGCCACTCCAGAACCCCGCGCCACGCCGTGCACTCCTGCCCGCCCGGCGCCCACCTTCCAGCAGTGGGGACAAGCCCTTGCCCGTCCGCCCCGAGCGCCCACCACACCTGCAGCTCCTGCCCTGCCGCCTCGTCCGCGGGGGGCTCCGGGAAGGCCCCCAGGAATGTGTCTAGAGCTTGCAGGTCCCCGACGGCCCAGGGGTCGGCTCCGTGCAGGCAGGCCTCCAGCACGCGGTCCGCGTCGAAGGCGTCTTGCTCAGGAATCTGGGGGGGCGCGGGGGGAAGAGGGGGCACTTTCATCACTTGCGGGTCCGTGCCGGCTGCGCCCATACCCAGCGGACCAGGTCGTACCAGCAGCCCCTGCCACCTTCCCACCACACTGGATTCAGAGCGCAGTGGGTGTCCTGGGCAGGGCAGAGCCAGTGCTGGGAGGCCGAAGACCCCCCACCCCATGGAGCAGCTTGTTGCACGCCCCGGCTCTGCTGCGTCCGAGCCCACCCAGCCCCTGCCCTCCTGGGAGGCACCTGGACGCGGAGCTGCCGCCCATAGAGGATCTGCAGGTACCGCTCAAAGGCCTCGTCCCGCAGCTCCTGGCTGAGTTGCGGTGTCCGGCCGGCCCTCAGCTTCCCCTCACGCAGCAGCTGCAGGTCCAGGTCCCGCGCGGCCAGCTGGGCACAGGCCTGGGGGCAGCAAGAGGTGGCCTCCGGCATCAGGATGCTCTGGGGGGCCTTTGGCAGAGCCCCTGGCACCAGCTCACGGGGGAGGCTGGAGCACAAAAGGGCGCTGTGGTCACCGCGCAGCCACCCCCTTCCACTGCACCCCAGGGTGCAACAGGGCCCCCGCCATGGTGAGGACCCTGCCTCCAGCTGGGAAGGGGGCACAGAGCCTGGAGAGACCCTGCGTGGCTCTGCCCAGCAGCGACGGGGGCTGAGCGAGGTCCCGCCCAGCGCAGGGGCTGTCGCCCGCCCTGCAGCCAGTACCTCCTCCATCTCCTGCTGCTCCCGCGCGGGGTCCTGGCACGCCGGGAGCTGCCAGCGGTGGGTGGGCAGGCGCAGCCTGCGGGAGAGGGGCAGGCCATCAGCACGGCTGGGTGCCCCGTGGGCAAAGCCAGGATGCTTGGGGCCCAGGGCAGACGCTCCCCCGGACCAGCGCTCACCGGCCTGTCGTGGCGGGCCCCCCAGCTCCGGCCCCGCTGCAGGGTCCCAGGGCAGAGGCTGCAGCAGGGCATCGGCCACGGACACGGACAGCGTCGGGTCCTGGGTGGGCTCCACAAACCTACTGCACACCAGCTGCGGGAGACGAGGGCCCCGAGTCCCGCTGGCCACAGCGAGGCAGCTGGCAGGGTGTGGGGTGGGCAGCGCAGGGGGCATCAGCTCAGCATCTCCCCACCCCCCTGGGCACCGCCGTGGGGGACACCCAGCCCGGAGCTCTGCCCCCGCGCCTGCCCCGGGGCGGTCGGTCTCGGGCACCTTGAGCAGGTAGGACCGGGGCAGGTACTTGCTGTGCTGGATGCGGTAGAGGTGCCGCTCGATGCCCACCAGCAGGTCCCCGTGGTCGTTGGCGAAGGCCAGGCTGTGCGGGATGGTGTTCAGCTTCAGGTGCCTGCGGGGGCAGCAATGGCCGGAGGTGAGCACCACGTGTGGGCTCCCTGGGGCAGGATCAGGCCCATGCAACCCCCCAGACAAACCCTGTGCGCGAGCTCGGAGCCGCACGACGCAGCGCCCGGGATACAGCTGCAGCCCCCAGCGCCTCGCGGGGAGATCGAACCCCCACACATGGAGCGGGAAGGCGGGGGGCAACAGGCAGCTCGGGCGGCAGCCCGGGGGAGGGCAGAGTCCGTAACCAGGGGCACGTTGGGCTCCAGGACCCCGAGGCAGAGGGAAACTGGGAGAGCGGGAGGACGGGGGCGCGGGGGAGGAGAGCACGAGGGCAGACAAGGGGAGACCCCCAGGATGGGGGCGCAGGGATGGGGGCCCGGCCTCACCGCAGCAGCTGGTTGCGGCGGTTCCAGACCTTCACCGACCCGTCCCGGCTGGACGAGGCGAAGAGCTTCAGCCGGGGGCAGCAGCAGAGGCCTGGGGGGGAGCAGCAGCCGTGACCCGGGGTGTCCACCAGCGCCGAGCGCCCGGCCTGGGGGCTCAGCACCCCCTGGCCAAGGGAGCTTGGGGACACTGCCAAGCCCACCGGTGATCTCGTCCAGCGGGTCGTCCTCGGGCGGGTGGCGCGGGCGGGCGCGGGCCTGCAGGTCGTAGTGGGCGACGCGGTACGTGGCGCTCTCGGGGTCGTGCAGGGCCACGGCCAGGGTGCTGCCCAGGGTGCACATGTGCAGCGCGGGGTGCGGGCAGGCGAAGCGCAGCAGCGGGCTCAGGCAGTCCTCGGCGTAGGGGAAGACGCGCCACACCTGCACCACGCAGTCCTAGCCTGCGCGGGGGCGACACCGCTGCTCCTAGACCCCCCCTCCCCTCCCCCCCCACGCACCGGGCTCTC